CTTATCAATTCTGTACCTCAGTACATGATAAAGGTTTGAATGTCAAAGTAAACCGTCAACTGTAAAAGTCGGTGCTTCTCGCAAAAGTCCATTGGTAGATCCGTTTTTTCAACTCTTTATACAAAAACTTGTCCCCCGACTTTTAAACATCATTGACAATTGAGATGGAACTCGTAACTGAACTTACCTTGTAAATGGTCATTATTTACACACTGAAAAGTCAACATGTTGATGAAACATGAATATGAATGGTATTGTCAGCAAATGAAATTTATCATTAGGTTAATGCTGATTGAACATTGACGTTTTTCATACTACATGTAATTGTTTGGCCATTAAATACACACTAAATTGTGCTAAATTACACTTAATTGTCGACGGATTTTTTGGTTACTTCCCGATCATGACAAGGAGCACACGGAGAGTGTGACCGGTCAGCAGGGGATGCTCCTCCTCCATGGCACCTAATTCCACCTCTGATGTGTTGAAGGTTCATGTCTGCTTTGGTCTTGATGAGTTATGTTTAAATTAACTTTTAAGATTGAATACTGTATTTTATTTCCATATACTTCACTCTAAAAAGATAAAACATACTATCTTAAATTCCACATAAATACTTTTGAGATAAAATATTCTGTAAGCATATGTATATATACGTATTAAAAATGTAGAGCAATCAGTGAGTATTGGTTGATTGGTGCAATTAAGAAAAATTGTTACACAAGACCAATCCGTATGTATTCACTATCTTGATGGTCTTCACGAATTTGTGCATCTTAGAATATGGAGTCCTCTTTTTCATGTACCCTTGCAGCTGGTAAAAGACCAGCTTAAAATAGGTTATATATTTATTAATTTATATAAAATATTAACCAGAAGATCACATCCTGTGCTGCATAAAAAATCTCAGGATTCCGATTATGAATATTTTTTTATCAAATATTTCATAAATTAAACCAAAAAATAAAATCAAATTGTCTGAAATGTCTTAAACAAGGTAAACTTGCTTGCACATGCACTGGTAGTTAAATTTGAAATAAATAAAATCAATTAAAAAATGCATTTCATTAAATAAACCTAAATGACATGCAATTATTTTAGTTATCCCCTATACCTTCTCAGTGCTGCATAATTTATTTAAGGAATGAATTTAATAGCTACCCATTTTATACGGTATAAACTGGGTTGGGGCAGTTTACGCTTTATAAACCGCGAAGCGGTTTATAAAAAAGCGTAAACTGTTCCAACCCAGTTTATACCGTATAAAATGGGTAGCTATTAAATTCATTGCTTATAATTTAATTTTCATTCATTTGATGTAAGAAAAAAAGATGATTTTTCTAACAAAATGACTTCAATTTGTACGAAATTTGAATGTAACGTCAGGCGGATTGATACGTTTTTGACGTAAGTCATTGTGACGTAGGCAACCCATTTTATACGATATGAAATAAATTTTTTATCCAATCAAATACAGCGTTACAAACAGAATTAAATTATTCATATATGTTTAAAATGTTGATATGAAAAAGATCAACAACATTAAAATGCATTTACCTTCAAGGACACAGGAGGGCATGATTCATCATATTCGTGGTAGTTGTTTCGGCTTCGCACGTATAAAGATGCTTTCGGGTCCTAGGATTGATGATTCAATGTAATCAATGTCAAAGTAGCGTAGTGTTTCATCGATTAGATAATTCAATGATCACTGGTAAAAAAATCATAAATCTTGTTCATCTTTGACTAAATTATGCATGTAAGTATTGCAATTTTATTGAGTTTCTGTTGCTTCATTAAAACAGGATGGTAAGTTTCGAATGCAAGCATTATTTAAAAGTTGTTATATACAATGTAAATATGCAATAATTTATAGATTTTTGAATTTATTATTATAAAAATAAAACCTTTGAAATAAAGATTCTGTGAAAGTTCTTTAAATTTCACTCAGTGATATAAGAGGAGTTGCGGATAAGAGATGGGTACCCTAAAGCGTAACAGACGGACGGACGGACGGACATACCGATTACTATATATCCCCCACCCCCGCTTTTCAAGCGGGGGTATAATAAAATACATAAATACTAAAAATAATTTACACAAGTTTGAAGTGTTGGTTCTTGTAGTTATCGATGATATTAACTCTTTAATTAATTTGTTTTCTATCATATAATGTTTTTAGATGGGTGTGTGAACTGGCTCTTTCCAGGGTCGTGTATGAACGGCTATATAACTAATAAACTAGAGGTACTGTGAGCAATGAGCTATCTAAATGATACCCCCCGCCTTCCATATGAATATATTAGCAGTGTCCATGTTTTGTTGTGGGAAACCCAAAATATGTGTCAGATCAAAAAATAAAATAGGATATGCACAATGGCAATATATGTAATAAACACTCATCAAATTTCATTCAGTGGTATGAGAGGAGTTGCTGATAAGAGATGGGTACCCCAAAGCGTAATAGACGGACGGACATAACGATTACTATATACCCTCCCACTTTTAAAGCGGGGGGTATAAAAAACATACACATAAAATTATAAGTACTCTTCAAAAAAGAAATGGATGGTAGGAACAATACCCTGAAAAATGTAAGAAAGTTTTGTCAACCATTTTAGTAGATGGATATATGATTCATTCGAGTAAAATGCGTTATTTTTTTAACGCAAATTTTGTTAACTGCAGCTATTCTACAAATCTCACAGACAAAAGGACATGATTTTACAAAATGCTAAAAAAATCATCTCAATTCTGATTTATTGGTTTCTGATGCAATTCCTTCAGCACCATATGTAACCTATTAAACATATACCATTAACAAGGAAAACCCGTTGTTTACAAAAAATATGGCAGGACACGTGTGACATCACCAGCACAGGATCGTTCCAAAGGATTACGTAGATTTCATGCATGTTTCAAAACGACGTCATCTACGGCATTAGCTATCCCTGAACTGCACAGAACATCTAACAAGACCCTTTGCAGTTGACTACGGAATGCTGGAATTATTGCAAGAGTACTATTCAAGCCACATTCTGAACCCAAAACAATCCATATATCGACTTCAAAGATCCCAGATCAACTGAGTATGACTACAGCAACATCACTGAACATTTCGTTTAGCTACTAGTTCACGATGTTAATCGGAAAGCCTGTTATAAGTTTAAGAGTACGTTGGCTTCGTAATGCACATTATAGACAGTAGTTTTTATGACATGGTCGGTAAACGGTATTACATAAAAGTAAGACTGATCTGGTTCATATTCAAAGGACTTTGATGGAAAAAGGTACTCTAGCAGTGTTAAATTCTTCCTGTAAATGCCTTTTCAATTTTGCAGCATCCTGGAGCCGTATTTCAATCTAACAATAGACAGCCACATACAGCTCGTTTGACAGTCATGTTCTTGCAAAACAATAGCAACCTGTTATTGTCTTAGTCATCTGAACGCCAAATTTAAACCAAATAGAGCAAGCACTGATTGCCATGATTTGTTAAAGACAATCGCATCCCCAGACTCTGCTACATATGACCAAAGCTCTACATTTGGAATGGGAGAGTATTCCTGTATATTTTTATTACATACCTTTTCTACCATTAGATACCGTTTAGTCTATCATTTGTGCCTGTGGAGGGGGGCATAATAGATACAACGTATTGCTCTTTAATGATCTTGAACTGTCTATGACTTTAAAATCCTTGAGTGACATTTAGATTGTATCCCTATTGTGAACCACATTTCTGTATTATCAATACATCATTTTACTAAAAAATCTTTATGTTCAATGTGTCACTAAAATTCTGGGTTTTTTTTTCTTTTTTCTTTTGAAGAGTATATTTTGATGAACGGTAGTTTATACGAAAATAAGGTTTAATTAATGGAATGCATTTTTTAAATTTAACTACCATGTGCAAGCAAATATACCTTGTTTAAGACATTCAGACAACTTATTTTTATTTTTTTAATTTAATTTATGAAATATTTAGTAAAACATATTCATAATCGAAATCCTGATATTTTTTATGCAGCCCAAGACATTATCTTCTGGTTAATATTTTGTATAAATTAAGAAATATATAAGCTTATTTTAAACTGTTCTTTTACCAGCTGCAGGTAAACTTAAAAAAAGAGGACTCCATGTTTTAGGATGCACAAACTCGTGAATGCCAACAAGATAGTGAATAAATACGGATAGGACTTGTGTAACGCTTTTTTTTTTAAATTGCACAAATCAACTAATATAGCCACTGATTGCTCTGCATTTTAATACGTATACATGGATACATGAATAAACATACGCCAAAAGAATATTTTATTTCAATTATGTTTATGTTGAATTTAAGATAGTTAATACATGTAATATAATTCGTAATAATTTGTAAGCTACATTGGTATTTAATCTTTATACAGTGGAATATATGGATCGAAATAAAATACAATATTCAAATTCAAAAGTTCATTCAGACATAACTAATCAAGAGCAAAGCAAACATGAACCTTCAAAACATCAGAGGTAGAATCAGGTGCCATGGAGGAGAACATCTTCTATCGACTTGTCCCACTCGCCGAGTGTTCCTTGTCAGGATCGGGAAGTAACAACAAAAAAATCTGTCGACAATTTAGTGTGTGTATAATGTCATAACAATTAGTATGAAAAACGCCAGTCAGAATTTAACATAATGATCAATTGTATTTGCTTACAAAATCATTGTATTGACCATAGAACTTCTAAAATGGTGTCTTTTAACGAGACTGTCGATATTTATGTTTCATCAACATGTTTTGACAATTTAGTGTGTAAATAATGACAAATTACAAGGAAAGTAAATTCACGAGTTCCATCTCAGCTTTCAATGTGTTTAAAAGTCCGGGGTCAAGTTTTTGTATATATAGATTTGAAAAAAAACCGGATCCCGAAATTGAATATTCATACAATTTGTTCGATACCATAAACAGAATAATTACAAATTTAATTGCCTTGAAGCGATAAGTAAACAATTATTTGTGCGTTAACTCATTTATTGATACTCTTCCAAAGCAAGGTAATATGTCAGCCTGATAATTACGGATGGTTGAACAGAAACATCCTTCTACATGCAGTGGTAACAAATATACAAAGAAGATATGATGTCATAAAAATGTACATCAGATACAAAGAAATAAAAATCAAAATACTGTCCCATGAATAAAATAAAGCACAAATCAAAAAAATTTACAAAAATGAATTCTTTTAGATACAAGTAGTGTGCCACTTAAGTATTTTTACCGTTTTCTACTTGCTACAGTTGAAACATCAATAAAGTTTTGCACATCAACGTTGTTTATGTAAGACTCAAGTTGGTTTTTAAAGCCATTTACAGGAATGACAGAGGGGAAGGTTTGACTTTCATTTATTACTTTTGGAATTCCAAATACTTGTTGATCGTTGTCTGACGTTGTGAATGGAGATAACTTTTGCAAAGAAGTAAGTGGGCGATACTTTCCTGGAACAGTAGAGAAGCAAAAGTAATTACAATTTTTGGTAGTCATATTTCTACATGCTTCACATGCCATCTTCTGGATTAAAATTGCTGCATAAGGGTTTTTAGGTGGTCGACGCGTTGGGGGAAACAACACTGAAATTAAAAAAATACAATATAATGATTCAGTATTTATAAACCATATTTCTATCGTCTAAAGCTTGTAATTGAATTTCTTGGTTTTTCTTTCTAAATGATCACGATATAAAATAGAGATATTTTATTTAATAAAATAATTGCACTCATATATATATATATATATATATATATATATATATATATATATATATATATATATATATATATATATATAAGCACATTTTACAACAACTCTTAAACTAACATAACTGCCCTAAGTGAAGAAATATTATATAGAAAGCACAAAGAAATTCACTTTTACATGGATACCCACTTCCGCCCCAGCCCGGGGTTGAACTCTCGACCTTCGGAATCTGTCTTCTAGCAGTGCAGGAACAGCGCGCTAGACCGCTCGGCTAGCGCGCTAGATAGCCGAGCGGTCTAGCGCGCTGTTCCTGCACTGCTAGGAGACAGATTCCGAAGGTCGAGAGTTCAACCGCGGGCTGGGGCGGAAGTGGGTATCCATGTAAAAGTGAATTTCTTTGTGCTTTCTATATATATATATATATAATATGTACTTAGTATTCATTAATTTCTTTCTGTTGAACGCTTGTACACTTTCTTTTATACTGTATCAACCTAGAAGGTTCACACAAAAAATTCTTTTCCTCTAACTTCACAATATCCTTACTATATTTTTATGGAAAAAAAAAACAACATTTACAAGTTTATAAAAGATCCAAAATCATATTTTAAGATTTCGATTCCTTCTCTATTATCTTTCTATGTTTTCTTTTAACATTTATAGTACTGCTATTTTGAGATATTGTAAATGTAAACTAGTGATTGGTATTTAAGTAGTTATGCTACTATTATATGTTCTGTCTCTCTCTCTCTCTCTCTTAAAAAAAACAAAGAAGATCGGCGCATTTTGCGTGTGATCTGCAGGAATCATTTGTACGAAACATTTATGGTTTAAATGTCTATGATTTGGTTGGGTGAACATAGCTGGTCATATTTTACAAAAATTTTTCATTTAGTTTGAAAGACTTTGTGAGATTGTAACATTTATGTCCGTTTATCATAGTGGCTACCATAACATAATAACATTTCACACAAAAAAAAATAAACACCTAAAATATTTAATGCATAGATGCATGATACGTGTACATGTACCATTTTGTACCAAATGTCTGACACTACTGAACTTAAAATTCCCTGATATTCTGAAAAATCTCTGATAAACTCTGTTACCCACTGTTTAAGTTCTGATTTTCTCTGTAAAAGCACTGTACACCCACTGTACAAAATCCCTGTACCTACTGTCATCCTCGGTAAATCACAGTACAAACTCACTGTTATTTTTTGTACATCCCTGTACATTACTGTACGCCCCCACTGTACAGCACAGTACACCACTGTCTGTCATTGTACGCCTCCACGGTACAACACTGTACATCACAGACGCGTACAGTACTCAATCTCTGTACAGCACAGTACACTACTGTTGATCACTGCACGCATCCCAGACTGGCACTGTACATCACTGAAGTTCAATGTACGCATCCCAGTTTGACACTGTACATCACTGAACCATACTGTGATTTTTTTTAGACTTGTTTAACTTCTGTAGTTCTTAAATTTTACAATTTTTTAACTTCACTAATTGATTTTGAGAGTGAGAATTTTGTGCTGATAAGTGCACGTACGTAGTATACACTAATGCCATGTATAAAAAGTATTAAAAAAGTCGAATTATTGATTATACGTAATATCATAATAATATTAAATAATTATGATTTCTCTAGTCTTAAAGTTTTGAATTGACCGATCAATTAAATTAAAAATATCTTCTCTTTTATTTACCGGGAATTTGATTTAAAAGAAAGATTATTAAATTTAAAATTAATATTTTATTAAGGCATATCTACTATCATCTGTAATTACTGTACATTGTTTTAGTTGATCATATGTTGTGTCAACTCCATGACCATATGGAGAGTGAAATAATACATTGTTATTCATCTAAGATTAATTTGAAAAAAGCTGGAAAAAAAAATAAATATAGTACCAGCATTGTACCATATATTTTTTTTATTTTGGTTTACTGTGAGTCGGAAAATTCAAACAATAGATCGAGTGTAAAATTACTCTTTTTGTTTCTTCTTTCATTAATTGAGTTGAGAGTAACAAAAGAAAATTAATTTTTGAAAATAAATCATAATTACATTTAGTGAATTCCTGATAGTAAAATGTCCACATTGGCCCAGGCGCCCAGGTCCAATGGGGGAAAGGGGGATCTACTGGTAAATGGTAATAAATGTCAATCTGGAACTAGTGGATATATATTACATCTACATTAAATAAGTAAACTTTTATTTTACTCTGAAAAATCAGTTCATATACATTTGTATTTAATAGGATCAGCTGTACAAGCCACATCTGCAGGATATGACGCAAAATCTTAGCTTAGCTAATAATTTACGAATTACGTGCATATTTGTTTAAGAAATGCATTCACCGTTATTAAAGACATATTTCACTGGTCAAAATGGTTGGAAAAATATGTAATAAATATTATGCTCAATGTGTAAATCCCTAACGTTATTCAGAAAACTACATTAGTATTCGGCATTCAGACATTTGGAATTAAAATCGAGATAGGTGAGAAATGTGGCTGAGAAAAAGTGAAGATTGAAGAACAAATTTCGGACAACTCGGATAAGCCATCAAGTTGTTTGCAATTGGGACAAGATTAAAACATTTAGTTGGTTGAAATTTTTAATTGAATAATATACATATTTTATCAACAAACTTTGTATCGTGTCGTATCCTATTTTCGACCATATTGTATTATTACCGACCTATTTGTCCCATTCTGCACGGTAGAACATAATTTGTTTTGTTTGCTAAACTTGGAAAATACTTTTGAAGCACAACTGTAATGAAAATACCCAAAATTATTCATTCAACGGAATTCCCCCGATGGTTTTAGTTCGTTGTCAGAATTTCTAGTCTTTTCACTAATGCACATTTTATCTGTTGATTAATTAAAGCCGTAATCAGTTAATTACAAAGATTTTTTGATGACATTTTTCCGAAAGAAATTTAAGATCTCTGTCAACGATATGCATGAATATTGAAATGAATGGGATGATTAAACGAAATTTTTTCTTCCATAAAAATGACCACTTTCTTACAGATTTTTACTGAAAAATGCTACGTAATTTCATTGATTTTTTGTGGAAATACACAACTACTGACAGATGGGTTCAACCAATGAATAAATGTATTTGCTACCAAAATATGCAACTTGTTAATTTTTTTTTTTTTTGAAAGGAAGACAATCGTATTTTTATTGTTTGGGAATATACAATGGATATTTATAGCCAATACTGATTTGGCATTGATACTATATTCAGGGCGAAAACATAAGACGTTAATATTTTTGTAAAGAAAACTACACCCTTTCCATTTTACGGCATATTAATAAAATAGTTACACAAAACTGCAATATGGGTTATATCATTTTATTTATAGACACATATGCTAACATTTTAAGTCCATATTTGCTTAGATTCTACAAAGTTTGCAATAAATTTTTTTAATAAATAACATCTAAATAGCTCGAAAAAACAATACGCCAGGATATTATATACCACGTATCCTGTAGAATTTCATGAGAAAAAAACGGATAAAAGTTAACTATTAAAATAATTTTCTATTAAAAATCCTTGATCCGCGCCTTTTCTTTCACATGCTGACGCACTCGGGTAGAACCAAGGTAGGTTCTTGTATATCGCATGTTATTCGCTATGGTCAGTTTAACAATAGACCCTAATTGCCTTTTGTTCTGGGCTCGCGTCTCACCAGTGATGTAAGTTGCAAATATACAAACTATCTAACCACTCAGAACAAGGTGGAAATTTCACAAATCTCTATACATCACACCAATCATAACTTTTTAATAAATAGAAAAAAAAATGTTTGAATTGAAAACTGCAGTACATAGATATTGTACTAGAGACACAATGCATAAACTGATAAAAATTGGAAAAAAAGTACATGTATACTAAATCAAATAACAAAAATTGAATTAATCCAGAGAGAGAGAGAGAGAATAAGAGAGAGAAGTGCAGAGAGAAAAAGAAAAAATCATAAGAATAAAACACACAGAGAAAGAGTGAAAAAGAGGATAGATGATACATCAATAAACAATAATGGATCATACATTAAGTAATTACAAAGTAGTATTTTGTCAAAAGTTATTGGAAACTTGAGATACATGTGCAGTCTTAATTAAGTTCATCCACATCAAATAGGCCTAATAGGAAGTCCTTCAAATGGGGGAGTGGGGGAGGGGGTTGTTGATTCATAAGATGTAAATACGGCATATTCATGAAAATAATATCGTTTTAAGTAAGTTCGAAGAAAAAATTCATTCAAAATCGCGCCAAAAAATGGATTTAATAATATATTGAATGAGTAAATAACATGTAATATTTGAGTTTTATCGATGTGTTAGTAAATAAATATTTTGTTGATTGAAGCAGTTTTTCCAGTTTGTCAGCATCGGTTATCTTTCCTATTAAGGATTTTTGGGGGTATGTTTTCCTCCTTAAATGCGTCCAGATCACAATACCCATAAGTGCAGACTCTTGGATAAAATTATCACAATAGTAAATAATTTCTATGTGTATGTTTTAAATTTGCGTTGAGAGAATCAGTATCGCACGTCGGAGCAAAAAAATATGCTTAGGAGCTACAGACAGACACGGGCCCTTGTCGCATAATATTCGTTCCGGGTGTTTCGCGTTCCGGTCGGAACCTTAAAATCATAATATTGGTTCCGGATTTTACTGTAATATAGGTTCCGGCCATGAGTTCAATCTTTGAATCGCGGTAGGGGTCTGTCCAGATTTCATTCCACATTGAGTCATGGAAGTAGCGGGTTTTTTTTCTTGAGGATTTAGCATGACGCAGCGACATTCTACATGTATTTTCGTGCATCGCACAAT